CAACTTGTGCTCAGGGACTTTTGTAAAGCATTGCGCCTTTAATAGTCTGAACCTGTTTAGATACTGGTCTACGAACTCTACTATCTTTTGTTTGACGCTGGCTAGTTCTTTCAAACTTATCTTTGATTGCCCCATGTAAAATTGTTCGTGAAACAATCTTTCTAACTGCGTCCACGTTTGGACATACTATGGGGGCAGCGAGGTGAACCATGTGAACACGTTCTTGGTTAGGGAACTAGGGAAATACTTCATTTTTAGGTCTTCATTATTCGCTATGTCCCCAGCTTCGGTTTGATACCTAGCAACGTGTTCGATAGTGGATTCTTCCGTCTCTCCCGTAAATTTGGTGAATTTTGGCACCTTCCATCCCCTTGCCAACTCCGTTTGCAAAACAAAATCTGGTAGAGGGGATGTGTAGGTGGGCCATCGATGGATTGGGTTCGCACCATTGCGAACCATAATGCGTTCCACCATGGCCTCCAAATTAGCTTCTCCCCCCGGATTATTGTTCCTAACTTGTCTGACCACGTAGTCTGGGTCTTGGTTCCTGTGAACCATCAAAATGGGGGGCCTTTGGGCCACCCTGAGTATGTGTTCGTACTCAGGCGCCTGTAGGTCATTTTTTTCTTCGACAGAATCATTCTGTCGGATAGGCGTATCGGGACGATTGGGAGGTGTTTGTCTTCCTGAGGCCCTGAGGACCCCTAAGAAGTCTCTTATTTGTGTCATCTGAGTTGCCAATTATTGGTAACTCTGAGTCGAATCTTGTATTAATGGTCTTAGAATGGTACCCATTTGCTGGGTCAGCAGATGTATCATCTCGTGATTGCTTTCGTCCATTTGTTGTCGCATAACCGCGACAGAATTGGTGGTGAAAGTCGGTATCGCGGGGGAAAATGAACCGAAACCTGGTGGCCTCACCCCTTGATGGGTCACAGGCCCTAAGTTCCGATATGGCGAGAATGCTGATGAGGAATTCTCTCTCGTGTCTGGCCCACTATAGCGTTGATATGAACTTTGTCGGCATTCCCAAGTGTTAGGGTGCTGACATGGTAAAATTGGGCAAGTATTTCCCTCCGACTCTGGTCGTCGCTGGCCTCACCTCAGGTCGACGCGGAGTCGTGAATGGTCCGCTATGAGAGGTTGAAGCTATTGTTGTGGACTCAGAGTTCACAACCGTCACCGGTGATATGACCGAATTTTCCTGTGAAGAAGGTTCTTCGTTTTGTCGTGGTGTTACCATTTTTCCACTGCGCAAACGCATATACCCAGACCTTCGGGTCCCGACGCAGTTTTGCTTGTGGGACCGGCCAAACTAGTCTCAGGACTCTTGGTTCTAGGTGCGTGAATTCGTGAGATACTTTGAATTTGTGGTATACTTGACAGTTTTTTGGACGTGAGTATGATGAATTTTAAGTAAATAAATACAACGACACTTTTAATAAAACAAAGAGAAATTAGAAAATTGACATAAAAGTAAAGGTATTGTTTTCATAACATAAAAAGTTTAACTCAAACTGGTAAAATACAAATGGGCGTGTTCGTACATTTTGTAAGGAATGGGGAACTCTTTTCTCTCAATGTGCGGTACTCAGAGTGTTTTTCTTACAATGCTGACAAAAAACGCTCGTTCCTTGAAGTCAAGCTTTGCTTTATATAAGTAAGTGAAATAACCATCAGATTGCTTTTGGTGCCGCCACATGTCGAGCCACTACTTTTGTAACTTCCCTCATTTTTTTTAAAATTTATTTGCTTAGAATGTCTCTTCCTATTTCCTGTCGACTTCGACCCCTTTGTTGTCAATACTTTTAGTTGGCTTTTTTCGGCCAACATATACAGAAAGTGTTTTTAACACCTTGAAACCTTAAATATAAAACCTTGAAACCCTAATTTCAAATGGGCCTTGGGGTTCAAAAACAATATTAGAGTTTGGCTTAACACAACCTTACAAAACCGGTTGGTAAGGTGAGGGGTGCCACTCTATATAAACTATTTCAATGCTCTATCTCCAACCAATGTGGGACTTTAGGATTTTCCTAATACACCCCCTCACGCCCAACACTCTTTTTGAGTTTGGTGCATGGATTTAAACGGTGGGCTGCCCAATGTCCGATCGATAGGCTCTGATACTATATTAGAGTTTGACTTAACACAACCCTACAAAACCGGTTGGTAAGGTGTGAAAGTAGAAAGTAGAAAATTGACATAAAAGTAAAGGTATTGTTTTCATAACATAAAAAGTTTAACTCAAACTGGTAAAATACAAATGGGCGTGTTCGTACATTTTGTAAGGAATAGGGAGCTCTTTTCTCTCAATGTGCGGTACTCAGAGTGTTTTTCTTACAATGCTGACAAAAAACGCTCATTTCTTAAAGTCAAGCTTTGCTTTATATAAGTAAGTGAAATAACCATCAGACTACTTTTGGTGCCGCCACATGTCGAGACACTACTTTTGTAACTTCCCTCATTTTTTTTAAAATTTATTTGCTTAGAATGTCTCTTCCTATTTCCTGTCGACTTCGACCCCTTTGTTGTCAATACTTTTAGTTGGCTTTTTTCGGCCAACAGAGACAAAAAGTGTTTTTAACACCTTGAAACCTTAAATATAAAACCTTGAAACCCTAATTTCAAATGGGCCTTGGGGTTCAAAAACAATATTAGAGTTTGGCTTAACACAACCTTACAAAACCGGTTGGTAAGGTGAGGGGTGCCACTCTATATAAACTATTTCAATGCTCTATCTCCAACCAATGTGGGACTTTAGGATTTTCCTAATACACCCCCTCCCAACACTCTTTTTGGGTTTGGTGCGTGGATTTAAACGGTGGGCTGCTCAATGTCCGATCGATAGGCTCTGATACCATATTAGAGTTTGCCTTAACACAACCCTACAAAACCGGTTGGTAAGGTAAGAAAGTAGAAAGTAGAAAATTGACATAAAAGTAAAGGTATTGTTTTCATAACATAAAAAGTTTAACTCAAACTGGTAAAATACAAATGGGCGTGTTCGTACATTTTGTAAGGAATGAGGAACTCTTTTCTCTCAATGTGCGGTACTCAGAGTGTTTTTCTTACAATGCTGATAAAAACGCGCATTCCTTGATGTCAAGCTTTGCTTTATATAAGTAAATGAAATAACCATCAGATTGCTTTTGGTGCCGCCACATGTCGAGCCACTACTTTTGTAACTTCCCTCATTTTTTTAAAAAATTTATTTGCTTAGAATGTCTCTTCCTATTTCCTGTCGACTTCGACCCCTTTGTTGTCAATACTTTTAGTTGGCTTTTTTTGGCCAACAGATACAGAAAGTGTTTTTAACACCTTGAAACCTTAAATATAAAACCTTGAAACCCTAATTTCAAATGGGCCTTGGGGTTCAAAAACAATATTAGAGTTTGGCGTAACACAACCTTACAAAACCGGTTGGTAAGGTGAGCGGTGCCACTCTATATAAACTATTTCAATACTCTATCTCCAACCAATGTGCGAGATTAGGATTTTCCTAATACACCCCCTCACGCCCAATAATCTTTTTGGGTTTGGTGCGTGTATTTAAACGGTGGGCTGCCCAATGTTAGATCGATAGGCTCTGATATCATATTAGAGTTTGGCTTAACACAATCCTACAAAACCGGTTGGTAAGGTGAGGGCCGCCACTCTATATAAACTATTTCAATGCTCTATCTCCAACCAATGTGAAACTTTATAATCTTCTTAATAAACAATATTGTTGATAACATATCTGAGTTTGTTTTTTGGAAGATCGTCATTACAAATTATAATTCAAGGTTGCATATTTTCTATTTGATTTCTATAGGAAATAGAGGAAGATGGAAGAAAAATAAGGAGGATGAAGAAGAGAGAAAAAAGAAAAGAACACTGAGTGAGAGAGAAAGAGTGAAAGGACCGAAAGACAGAAAAAGAGAGAAAGGAAAAGAGTCATATGGAGTTAATACGTTGGAAAAAGAGAAAAAGTAAAAATATTAGCTTACCTCTGGTAGATAGATACTATCATGGGCGGTTTTAAGGCCCGGCCAGGCTGGGCATGTGCCCGGGCTCGGCTCCAAAATTTTGCCTTCTTTTATAAAAGAATATGAAAATTGTGGCGGTTAATAAGTGCTTTTGTGGCGGTTAAAACCGCCACAAATAACGAAAATGCAGAAAAATAGTACTTTTAAATAAAATTTCTCATGTCATAATATATATTAAATAAAAAGGTGGTTTTTTGTCGTTGATAACGGCAGTTTTAACCGCCGTAATTTAAACATTTTTCACAAATAAAACATATTTTTTTTCCCTTTTTTATGCAATTAAGCATACATTATATTAATATTTTTTATATGATAATATTTAAATTCAACTACATTACAAAAAATGCAAAATTAAAATAAAGTTGCTATTTATGACCAAATTAATCAAAAACAAAAAATAAATACTTGAAAAAAATAAAATTTAACATAAAAGTAGCAGCTACTAAAATTATAAAAAAAAAACATGTATAGTGTTGTAAAAAAGAAGAAGAAAATAATAAATTTTATCCTCAAATAATATAAAAAATATATTAGGTCCAATTTTTCAATTTATGTTCACTATAAATTATATGGTTCAATTGATGTTAACTAGGAATTTGTATTTTAAATTTAGTTTGTAGTTACAGTAATTAATAAATAAAATTATGTTGTTAAGTTGTTGTTAATTTCAAGAATTATTATGAATCACATGAAATGATATTCCATGTTAGTATCAGACTCAAATTGGATATGGCTATGTTAGTTTTAAAATTCTTCCGAAATTAATTAAATTAAAAATCTTTTATTTTGATTAATAACTATTTATATATACAATATAAATTTATTGTCATTAAATTTTTGACCAGACTTCAAAAAAAATTTCTGACTCCGCCACTGAATACCGTCTAACAAAAAAAAACTCTTACAGATTGATACGGGTTACAAAAAAAGACAAGAACACGAGTAAAGCGAGGTATCCTCTTTTTCCCAATGCTTTTATTACGAATATATCCACCTATCCTCTCCCGCGGATCTTTCATTCATCTCCGAAGCCAACCATATCTATCAACACAAGACCGAAAAACTTCAACGATAACCATATCAAAGATGAATCTGGATGGAGCTCAGAAGAAGGATGAAACACCCACTTTTCCATATATTCAAGAATCTGTCAGGAATGATCCTTTCAAGGTTCCTCAAAGGTATACCAGAAGTGAAGAAGTAATTCAAAAATCTCTTTTCATGCCTCAACTTTCATCCCAGCTTCCTGTCATTGATTTTGCACTACTCTTAGATCGGAACAAAGATGAACTATCCAAACTCGACACAGCATGTAAGGAGTGGGGATTCTTTCAGGTAAGTATCTTTGTCTTCACCAACACAGTTCTGACTGAACTAATGAAATATTTTACTTCTATCTATACCATCATATAATTGAAACTTACAATTTTGATAGGATATTTTTTTTATACAAACTTGTTATTGTATATTTTTTAAAATTTAAAATTGAAATTGAGATAAGATAGGATGGAAACCCTAAGTGGTGACAGTTGTAGAGAGATCATGTGGTGGTGGTTGTGGAGACTGTTATCCAGAGTTGGTTCGGCCCAAACCAGAGCCTTATCGAATTGAAATAAACAAATTAAATTAGAGTGAATATCACAAGATAAAATATATATACTCTGAAGTGCAATAGAAAAAAATTAGATAGACTTGCACATCAGTGTTCATCTTTCACTTTGTAGTAATAATAGATTCGGTAAGTTGACATCATTGCACTAATATATCTTTGCAATGCAATTACTTTTTCCAGATAGTGAATCATGGCGTAGAGATAGACCTGATGCAGAGAATGAAGGATGCAGCATCTGAGTTTTTCGAATCTCCAATAGAGAAAAAGATCAAGTATGCAATGCCTCCGGGTGGTTTAGAAGGTTATGGGCATGCTCCAGTTGATTGGTCTGATCGTGTTAACTTAACCATTTATCCAACCCGGTTCAGGCAGCTTCAGTTTTGGCCCGAGGAATTGAAGTAGGTATTTTTGTTATATTATTATGTCGCATTAACTCGGTTTATCTCATAGGATTATTTAACAGGGATATAATAGAGGCATATTCAAGTGAAATTAGACTAGTCGGTGAGCAACTTATCAAATCTGTGTCATTGCTTTTGGGGTTGGAGGAACATGTTCTTCTTGGACTACATAAAGAATTATGTAAAGGTTTACGAGCGAACTATTACCCTCCTTGTAAAGTACCTGAGAACGTGATTGGTTTGAGTTCACACTGTGATATAAGGACCCTTATAGTAGGTATGCAAGATGATAATGCAACGGGAACACAAATTCGACACAAAGGAGGTTGGATACCAATTAAAACAATACCAGGTGCTTTCCTTATCAATGTTGGAGATGTAATAGAGGTATATACTCATTCATTTCTTTAGTGAATTTACTTACAAAAGATAGAGTCACTTTTCTGTTTCATCTTCCTTTTGTAATCTTGACAGATATGGAGCAATGGGAGATACAAGAGTGTGGAACACAGGGTACTGACGAATAAGAACAAGAGAAGGATTACTTTTGTATCGTTTTTGTATCCTCGGGATGATGCTGAAATCGGACCATTTGAGCATTTGATAGACGATCAAAATCCCAAGATGTACAAGGAAATCACGTATGGAGAGTATTTCAGACACGTCCGGGATAAGAAGTTAGCAGGAAAAACACATGTGAGGGCGACAAAGATAAATGAATTTTGAAGGAAAATGAAGTTGTTCCCCCTCAAGTTTGTTACTTTTTCGTGTTGTCTGAATAATTCATAATGAATAAAGTTGAGCCTATTTGCTTAGTACTAAACTAGTCCTTGTCACTGAAATTTAGATCTTGTTAATTCACATGGCTACCAAGTGATCCAGAGTGTTGGGGTAAAAGCAGGAAGATTGCATTAGCAATTTAATCTTCCTTTGATCTTTGAAATTAAAGCTGTTACAACATTAGATACTTTGGCAATTTAGTGAATTTCCAAGAGGTTTGTAAAATATGACTAAATAAGAATAAAGTTTTTTTTTCAAGGGTGAATTTATTGATGGTGTGGGACTGTTAAATCATAATAAGTCTTTGTAGCTCATAAGGCATGGAGGTTTTTTCATTTGCATCCTCCAAATTAGGGGCGGCATAACGGGTCTGACTCGTCAGATATGCCCGTTTTTGTCTGCACTTTTTTGCGGGGTGGCCAAAGTTTTAGGACCCTCACCTCCTAATTTTTTTGTTCAGCTCTGCCATGTTTTTATTTTGCAGGCTTTTGCAAACACGGATATTAACAAGAAATTTTGCAAGTTTTAGCCTTTAAGAGTGCAATGCTCATATGTTCCCCACACTTTTTTTTGTTGAGATGGATAAGATTTTAGACTTGCACCTTCCTTCCATTTTTTTATTTAGTTTGCGAGACGGATCTGTTAAAATATAGGGTAGTTTGTTTATTTTTCCTTTTTTCTAGCTTGTTATTTGTATTGTTTTTCTGCTGTTTCTTAGTCAATTGTACCGTTGGAATATTCCTCCAACTTTGTTATTGGTTAGTCTATATAAACCAGCCTGAATTTTCAATGTTAATTCAATAATATACAATATTGTTTTTTCAATTCTATTCTTCTTTCTTTATTGTGATCATGGAGATCACACTTTAACCGGATCTGAATGGCACATGCATGACCGTTTGCAAGCCTACTCAAAACCATATTATAAAGCACAAAATATATTTGCAATTTGCAATATATTTTGCTTTCTTTATATGAGGCAACTTTGTTCATATCCCACCTTACCTAAGCAATTAAAGTTTATTTCATTTGGAATGTCCAGAGCATAGGTTCGATAGAAACGAAACAATCACATGAAAATACTACCAAACTTTATAATTTCTATTTGGATTGACTAGGCAGAGGTATATTTATGTCTATAGAGAGTTTCAAGAATAAGATTCCCTCAACTAACAAAACAAAAAAAAAACTACATAAATGTAGTTACCCTTTCAAAGCTCTCAAAGCTAACAATCTACACCAAACAAACAAAAGATGAGTGTCAACATAGAGGAAGCACCGATTTTTGCTCCATCTTTACCGGTACCAAATGTTCAAGAAATGGTGAAGATGAATCCTTTTCAAGTTCCTATAAGGTACATGAGGAATCAAGAAGAAATGGAAAAAGTAAATTACATGTCTCACCTTTCTTCTGAGATTCCTGTCATTGATTTAACACTGCTTTCAAATGGGAATATGGAGGAGATGCAGAAGCTTGACATAGCATGCAAGGAATGGGGCTTCTTTCAGGTAATTCCTCAAATACAAAATAACTAACAACTAATAAGCATCACGTGCTGCTTAAAATTTCAAATATATTACTCTGCAGATAGTGAATCATGGTGTGCAAAAAGAACTTATGCAAAATATGAAAAATGTCGCGTATGAGTTTTTCAAACTTTCTATAAAAGAGAAGAACAAGTATGCAATGCTCTCAAATGATGTACATGGTTACGGACATGCGTATGTTGTTTCCGAAGACCAGACACTTGATTGGACAGATACATTCTTCTTACTCATTTATCCCGACCGCTTCAGAAAACTTCAGTTTTGGCCGAAAACACCACAGGAATTCAAGTATACAGTTTTTACAATTTCAATCTACAATTTATTGTACATGTTGTGATTTTGATGGAATTCATGTGGTAATGCAGGGAGATAACGGAGGCTTATTCGAGTGAAGTGAAACGAGTAGGTCATGAACTTCTGAGTTCTTTGTCTGTTATTATGGGATTAGAGAAGGATGTTTTTGTTGGACTACATAAAGAAGTACTTCAAGGTTTACGCGTGAACTATTACCCTCCTTGTAATACACCTGAGGAAGTTCTAGGTTTGAGTCCACACTCTGATTCAAGCTCCATTACTTTACTTATGCAAGATGATGATGTGCCCGGGTTAGAAATTCGACACAAAGGAAATTGGGTACCGGTTACTCCTATATCCGATGCTCTAGTTGTCAATGTTGGAGATGTGATAGAGGTAAATTTTTCGGCCTTACCATCTGGTTCAAAGAAAACTGCTAGTTTAGAGCTTAGTCGAGAGAAGATCAAACTTGAAGTGTCATCGTATACAGCCCTAAGACCGTAGGTTGAAAGTAGGCATGTCACGTGTCTGACATTGTTTTGTGTCTTGAGTCTTGACACAAGCACATCTAATTATATTCATTACACGTGTTTAAGTGGTTGTGTCTGTGTCGTGTTTGATATATATGTAGTAATGTGATCCTTTTGTGATGTGAACAGATATGGAGTAATGGGAAATATAAGAGTGTAGAACACAGAGCAGTGACAAATAAGAACAAGAAAAGGACATCTTATGCAACATTTTTGTTCCCTCGAGATGATGTTGAGGTTGAGCCCTTTGATCATATGATTGATGCTCAAAACCCAAAGGTGTACCAGAAAGTTATGTATGGAGATTATTTGAGGCAATCTCTAAAAAGAAAAATGGAGGGAAAAGCACACACTGATGTGGCAAAGATAAAGGAACAGGTAATAAAGGAATAACAAATTTAAGAAAATATAATGTTTGAGAAAAAAAAAAGGAAGTTGAAAAGTTTGTAAATTTTCATGTTGACATTTGTGCTTGTCTAATGCTCAACAAATATCATTATAAAAAATATATCATTTACATCAAAAAGCATGGAGTGAGTTTATATTTAGTACATATCGAATTTAAAAATTTTAAGCAACAAACTTTGAGTTGCTTAACTACTATTTTTGCAAAGTAGAATGCAAAGTATAGTAAGAAAAGGCATTCACCATTATAGTCATGTATTAAGCAGCAATTATGATTAATAACCATGGAAGGCTAATTATAGTGACACATATTTTTATGAGATTTTAAAATAAAAATGGGTTGTATAGATTGTCCCGATAACTTAAACTAAAAGACAAATTTTAATCAGGGTTGGAAGCTTAAAATAAGTTTTGATACAAGAATTTTTTTTAAAATTATAATCTATAACATATATAAAGGCAATACTTGATTTTTGGTATAGTTTTTTTTTATACCAAATTTATTCTTATTTTAAAATATATAATTTACACAATAAGAACTACTACTATCATCTTTTATATAACTTTCTACTAATAACTTCTATGTAAAATTAATATTAAATAAAAATATATCATTTATATTTATATGTGTGCAATAAAAAAGCGGACAGACGGACACACGAGTGCCCGTCTAGACGCTAGTAGTAATAAAATGATTAAGTTTTAGTTTAAATTTTATTTCTCATGAATTTTAACATATATAATTGTTTATTAAAACCATGTAACAAACTTTGTTTAATTGATTATCAAGTTAATCAATCTAATATTTATTAGCTTTGAAAATTGTAAAAGAATAAATTTTTTATTAATACTTATTTTATATATTTAAAACTTTAAGGAGGTTGTCTTGATAACCTTATAATCTTACTTTTGAAGACACCTCCACTTATACTTAGCAACCCCATATATTTTTATAATTTCAAAAGTATTTTTGTTAAAATTTTATTATAATTCCAAAAGTATTTTTGTTAAAATTTTATTGAAAAAAGAGCAAATTTTTCGGTAATACAATTGAAAAATCTGATAATAAATAAAAAAATTTGATGATGTATTTTAAAAATTTGGTATGTATTTTTACCATTTTTTTTTTGTGAAAATTAAATTTAACATTCTAAATTAATATCTTTGATAATTTTTCAGATTTTTTAAAAATCAATAGTTCATATTCAATAAGTAAAAGAAAATTAACACTATTGAATGTTTTGAAAAATATTATAGTTTATTAGATTTTTCGAAAAGTGTTGCAGTTTGTCAAAATTTTCAAAAAATTCAATAGTGTAAAAATAATTTATTTTTTTCGAATTTGAACCTTTTGAAATATCTGAAAAATTATTGAGTTGTTCAAAAAAATCAGATATTTCTTTAAATATTTTTCAAAATTCAATGCATTTTTATTAAAAAAAAATTCAAAAATTTCTGATATTTCTTTAGAAAATTTGTTAAACACATAAAAATTCTTTTTTTTTTCGCGTAAGTACCTAGAGATAAGTTTTGTGTGGAGTTGAAGTGGGGTGTACAATAAAATCTTAGAAATGGTTGGGTGAATTTTTACTCTAGTCACTAGTTTTAATTAGTGTAAGTTTTATTTATATTTTATGGATAAAAAAAAGAGGGTAAAGGTAAGATTACGGCTAATTGTTGAAATATGTAAAATTCAATAGAGTATTCCTACTAATTTTGAATACACGTTTGACAGTCTATTTTTGTGTCCCAATGCATAATTCACCGTGATTTTCCAAAGTTTTAAATAGTAACTTTTTAGACGTTTTTTCTCCTATTCTAAATGGGGAATTTACAAAAAGTATACTATAAACCATAAAAAGTATTATATATATATATATATATATATATATATATATATATATATATATATATATATATATATATATATATATATATATATATATATATATATATATATATATATATATATATATATATATATATATATATATATATATATATATATATATATATATATATATATATATATATATATATATATATATATATATATATATATATATATATATATATATATATATATATATATATATATATATATATATATATATATATATATGGAATAAAAATAATTTAAAATAAAATTCAATCATCAGAGTGTCACACATACTTCACCATAGCATAAAAAAATCAACATAACATATTCACTAAAACTCAGTAGCATAAAATCATTAAATTTGACATATAAGCTTCAACATCAAACGAACAAGAAAACATCAACATAAGTAAGACATAAAACAAGTAAAAAATAAAACAGCTCACCCCCAGTGTTGTATGTCATAGAAATTCCTCTAAGACTCAAAGATAGATAAAGAGACATCAACGCCATCCTCTAGCTCGAGTGACTACTCTTGTACTTGATTGTCTGTACTTCCGAGGAGCACAAACGCCACATCAACAAAAAAAAGGATCAGAATACGCTGAAATAATATAGTGGTGCAATACATAAAAAAAAAAGGCAGATCACAAATATCTATATCCTAAAATCAAACGCACTTCATAGGTATTACACATCACATCATTAATATTAATTTATTCATAATACATGTATATATGTAATGTGACATCACCTCAACTCTACATGCAAATGTGGTACCGACTCATTGGTCAGCAGAGATATGTTACTCATATTGTCCACTCTCTCTCTATCCCACCAATACACCAGAGCACATTAAATTACTATTGATTCCACCACTGAATCAACAATGCTTTACCACTCCCTTTATACAGAAGTCCGCTACTCGCTCCTGATCCCACCACAGGACCAGAGCAGATCAAAATCGTTACTCATTCCACCACTAAATCAGCAACGCTTCACTAATCCCACCATAGGCATTAGCTACTCGCTCCCGATCCCACCACTGGACCAGAGCGCACCACTAAACCGAAGTTCATACATCATGATGCATGACACATGCAACTATACACCAAATGAGGCCATCAACACAACACACATCATCATGCTCGATTATGAGTCACCATTGTATAACTTATACACGTATGACAGCCATAACATACATCCATATCTCACAACATCAATTCATCATCACATAATATCATGTATGAATAATATCGAGGAAGAAAATATAGATGAACAAATTGAAGTGTCACATGAATTCAAGAAAGAACATAACGAAACTTATGAGAGGAAGAATGTTTAAACAAAATAGGAAAAAATCATCCATAGTAAGGTACCAGGTTTATATAAGAAGACGAAAGGAAGGAATTTATAAACCAAATTAGAGGGAGGCTTAGAAGATGAAATAAACCTCGAGATCACAATGGATCTCGAGTACATTCAAGTACTCTAAATGGCAATGTCGCTCCCTACCCTATGGACCTAAAGGCACATGTAAGGTGATGTTGTGAAATGTTTCAATGATAAAACAAACATTTACTGCGCATGTTCCCAAGGTCACCTTCTCTCACTCACCATAATTTTCCACTTTCGCTCACGTAAATTGAAGGCTTACCCGAAAAATGCAATACGACAATAGAGGGCGACCATATAATCTCCGGCTCCACTTTATTAAGTAACAACAAGAACTTGGATGGTAATTGTTACGGGACGACCTAAGGCCTAAAACGGCTAACCCAATTATGAAGACCTAATCTAGAGCTCCACCAAGTAGAACAGGTGATCAGGTGGAATCTTGTTAGAAATTCGAGCATGATGTGTAGCTTCTCGACCCATTTTTTCCTGGCCGAGCTTATTATTCGCTTTAGGCCTTGCAAGATCACTATTCGCGGCTTCGGCCTGCCCGTTTTTTGGGGGTGCTTGATGTAACACCCCACTTTACCCCGTACGCGTAATATAATAAATATATAGAAATAATTCATGAAATTCATCAGAGTTCTCCAACATAGTGGGATATCACACTAAGTCACTTCATTTCATTAAAATAATCAATATTATTTAGTTTTCAAGTAAGCAGCGAAATACAAATCAATTCTCCAATATAATTCTCCTCGACATGAGGTCATACAACATAAGTCCAATAAATGAAGATACGTAACAATAAACAAATAAAGTAGTCAAATAACAACGTAATCCCGTCATCCCATGTTACGTATCAGAGCGACTCCTAAGACTCAATCAAATAGCAACACACTCCAAGCACTACTCAGGTACCTGGTCACCTGTACTCCCAAGAGAGCACATACACAACAACAAAAAGGGGTGAGAACTACATTCAATAAATAAACGGTGAAATACACATGCTAAGGAGTAGTTACACACCATACATAAAATAAGCACAATTAACGCACATACACGTGCCACCTCAATCATTCGGCACTAATAGCCCACATTCAATTACAATAATGCAATGCGACTCACTGACTCGACACAATGCATGTGGTACCAACACAATCTCATACGGTTCACACTAGAACCCGATTCCCGTCGGAATTCGGATAAGTCGTATATACGTTCCTCTGAACTACAACTTATCTCCATAACGACTTCCACATTGAAGTCCGGATGAAACTAGGCACCCATCATGGATTCCCACCTAGCCATCTCCACAAGACACATGATATGAAATGCATGTCAACACAATTATGCAATGTAATACATCATGCATAATTCACGATCAATCTTGATCCACACGAGCCATCCGTTCACTGTAATCCTCTCGGGAATTACCACACTCGCACAAGATTATCCATATTCGACCATCTTGGCCCACATCTATCAAAACACCAAGACATCATTGAACCAGAACATGATTCGTTACTAAAACATATACACAATTGACTTCTCAAACATAATTAGATATAAAAATATTGGAAAAACAATTCCATTATCTATCCTATGTTATAACTCTGTTCATTAGCTTTCCAACACTTCAAACGGGGATCAAAATGGACTTACGGATCCAAAGTTACGTCCAAAACAATTTCGACCGAAAACATGAACATCC